CATTGAGAAGTCATGCCCAGATCAACGGTAGAGGACATACTCATTTTCTGCCCCGGAAAGACATCCGGGGTCAATGACAATGCGTACCTAAACATTTGCATGTTTTTTCATGATCGAGATTTTTAATGATAGCTCATGGATTATTTCATTTCGAGGACAATTGTCATTCAAACCGCATCAATGAACTGACCGGGTTCTACTTTTTATTGAGGAAGAGAAACTGGGTCACTAGAGTAACTTTTTCCCTCGAATTCCCGGTGATATCACGCAATTCAATTATAATTACATATACAATCCAAATTACATCTTGATCCACTGTGCACCGTGTCTTTGTTCGTTGGTGACACTAGAAGAAAGTTTAATTTCAAATTCTCCGGTGAAATCACTTAATAATTCTATGATATGGATTTTTTTATTTTTTTTTTAATCGAAGTTGACAATCTGTCAATCGCGCACTGCCAAGTACTCAATTTATTTCAATTTATTTAAATTTATTTCAATTTATTTCAATATTAAGATCAATTAGAGTCCCATATAAATTAATGATTGGTATTTTTTTTATTAATATAGATTTTGTTTATTGATACTTTAAAAGGAATGCAAGAGGACAGGATTGAGCTGGTGAATCAGAATTTCTGGGGATAATTAAAGAGGCCACTATTGTTTAAGGACATATGCACATGGGGTTTATGTAACCCAGTGCACCAGTACCAGGTTATATTTATCCTGGTGGTTTGTAGTGGTGAGTTTCAAATAAGGTAAGAGAGAGCATTCCTGATTGTATGTCAACGTCAGTGTTGGCCACGCACTCGTCCTTAGAGGTGTACCAACACATTGCGTTTATTCCTCCATCCTTCCTTTCATTTTTATCATGTATTTAATTTTTTAATTCTGAAATTGTTATAAATCAAATTTAAGCCCCGTATCAGTTTTACAAAGCAGGAATATCGTTACGTGGTATGAACATTATAGGCGCTTTATCATTGTCGTGAAACATTATGATCTCAATGTGTCCTATGCCCACGTGAATATTTGCAGATTTATTAAGAGGTACACAGTTCAAGATAAAGTATTTCATGATTGATGCTATATTCTAAGCTGTGGATACTGAACTTAAGATATTGCGTGTCCGTATCCGTTATTTTATGTTGTAACACTTTAAATAATATAATAATTATGTTGCGCTAATAATAACAAAAAATCAAGAATTCCTGAAGACATGTACATATTTTATAAAAAATTGTTTATAAAAAGGATCCAATTACTGTGCACACAGGCAGGAGCTGCAACAGTAGGGAATTATCAAATATAAAAATATTGGAATTATTATTATTATATTGGAACTGTGGTGGAGGATGTTACGCTAATAATAACAAAAAATCAAGAATTCCTGAAGAATTCAGAAGAAGAGCATAGGTTTTTTGGATTCTCTGGCGAATTATTGATCGCATCGACACGAAATAAAAATCATTTCCACATTTTATGGACATGATCAACAATTTTTTCAGAAAATTTCATCAGAAAATAAAAAAAATTGTGACGTCTGAAAGATTTTACTCACGAATTTTTATGACGTGCCTGCCGTTGCGTGTATTAGACAAAGCGTTTTTTTTTGTCTAAATACCAACGAGAGTAAAATGAACTCTCACTTTCGTGCGAGTAGTCTCGAGATCAAATAAGAGGGAATGATATAAGACTCCGTGTGTATCCTCATCGTTTGAAGGATAAAGGACGATGCGAAAGATTTACGAAGCTTTCTCCAGCCTCCCGATGAATTGCAAATCGCGTTGCATTCTTCCTTTTTTTCCGGTAATTTTTATTGGTTGTTTTTTTTTTTCACTGGGTTAAAAAAAATTTCTCGGGTTTATTCACTGGAGGAGGAGAGCGTAGGTGCTGGTTGACCCCCGAGGGTCATCGATTGTTGGCTAACGTATATATCAGGCACGACAATGCACTTGTGCCAATGCATCCATGAAGCTTTGAATACCAGGGAATAAGGCACGCTGAGTCCTTTGGCTTTTTAACCATCGGGTTATACAGTAGCCAACATACACTTAATCGGTGTCATGTGGTACTTTGTAAGAAGAATTCACGGTAGTATTCTTTAATCCGAACAACTTGAAGTATTTCACCGTTCGCCAGGTTTCATTTTACCGGTGTTCCCCCCATGCACACAAAATTGAATCGATAAATAAAATCTATAACAATATATTGAAATATTCTTCGTGTTCACTCGCTTTTTCATTTTGTAATGAAAATAAAATAAAAATATAATTGAATTTATTTCGGAATAGCAGGCAAAAAAAATATTTGTTCTCACAAAGAAAAATTCTCACTGGAGATATTTTAATTACAGGCGTCAGTCTCCTCTGATTTTTTAGCGAGAAATTTCGATTGACGTAGACCTCGGAAATTCTCAAGTCAGGGTATAACAGTTCTCGCGATTTGATTTCATTAAATATCAGTGAAAAAATCGGACGATAAAAGTGAATGGTGAATCGGGGGGAACTTGAAATGCATTCTGATAATCATCGATTTAAAATCCTGGCCACCGTCTGGTATGTCGGACAATTAAACCCCACCGTCGCCATCCTGGCATAACGCACACCGCGGGGACTCGATCAATTACCAGGGCATTCTCGAAATTTCAATCTTCCAATATATCCACATGCGGCACCTTTTTATGTTCCCCATGATATCTATCTACTTGTGAAAAATAGCAGATCGATTTCACTCCAACTTACTGTTTCATTGTTTATTCATCCAGATTATCGCAATAAATAACCACGAAACCCCGCGAATAATTTTATCCCCAAAAACCTCGAAATTTTTACCAACAATAAAAAGTGAGATCAAATTTTCGCATGTGCATATGAAGATTATTATTATTATTATTATTATCTTTTTATTGTACTTTTTTATATACTCTAGGGGTATTTAATCAGGTTTCTGCTCCACATACAATGGATTTAATTATGAATCCGTACACAGTTCCCATCCGTCAGGTTCGCCGCCGGTCGAGACGGCTTAATAAATTTGTTAGAGCACATTCACGCTTGGCTGGGCATCGGCTGGCTGATTGCAACTGTCTGATAGTAGACTCGATTGTTCAATCTTTCATTAAAAATCCACTTTTATCATTCCTCCTGCGTCGATCTCCACAACTCTACAATTGTGTACTCCACCCCTTGACACATTACTTACATAATTTTTTACTTGGAACCCTAAAATTCCCGTGCAAATTAATTCTGCATCCAGAAATATATTCTGATAAACTCCTGTGAGATCAGCCGATGCAGAAGAGACAGGTGTAAAAATTTCAAATATTTAAAAATATTGTGAGATAAATCAAGGAAATACCACTGGTTATATTTTCGTAGAGGATGAGTTGTGTTTGGATGTTGAGGATGTGCTCGTCGTTTCAGCGATCTCATTGTCTTTTCAGGAACAATGAAATGAAAGGATATAGGGAGCAATCTACTCTGGAGGTAGTACTCGGGGATTGCCTGGGCGTAAATGCTACTGAATGTAGACAGGGAGTGTCTCATTGAACTTGAAACATGAGAATCTAATTCATTAAAATCCCCAGGCTGTCGTCCCTATTACAGCCAATTCGAGAGTGATCATTAGTAGAATCGAATGCCGGCAGTTTCAGTGATGAATAGACAAGTAAATATCAGTGAATTCAATTGGGAACTGGTGGTAGTCCTTGGTGGAGGTCGAAGGAGATACGACTTATGAGGGAAAAGAGTGGAAAGTTATCGTCTTATAAGGTACGGGGAGGATTAACAGCCCATTTACGAGTAAAAGGGTGAAAGGCTATGGCCTTCCTCGGTAATTAACTTCATTATAGGGTAATTAAGATTCATCGACATGCCAGGCCGTGGCCCCGATGACCAATTCGATCCAGACCATCTTGTTCACTGCTTGACTAATTAATGAAAGCAGTGTCAAATGTCAAATGCCAATGGCAGCGTTTCCATAGGGAAACCTAAAATTCATTATTTTTGCGCCAGGACGCATGGGAACGAGATAATCGCAATTTTTTTTATTTTTTCCAAAAATTCATCAAATTTTCCTGGAAGAGAAATGGATTTTTC